TATATATATATATATATATTATAGGTACAGGGGTTTAGGGAGCTTGGGGAGTTCAGGGATTAGGGATCAGGGGTTTAGGGCTCTGGGGTTCCAGGGTGTTGGGAAGTTTTGAGGCTTTAGGCTCTCGGAACGCTGCGCGAGGCAGGTCGCACAGACTTCTGCATCACCAGAACTTCAAACTTTGGGGTCTTTGGGGCTGTCAGAGTCTGTGGCAGTTGCTGAACGAATCCCGCAGAGATCTTAAACAGAGCAGGAAGCAAACTGAATACTAATTTGTTTTATACAGCCCCACTCACTTCCCGCTAAACCTGAAAACCCCCAGCCCTTAGATTCCCAATCCCAAATTTAAATCACGCACCCCAGATCCTAAACCTTAAACCCCAAACCCAAAGCCCCACACCCGACACCCAAAACCCATAAACCTTAAACCATAAACCCCTATACATGCCTTATATGCTTGTTTCTTGCACCCCCAACCCGAAACCCTACTTAGACCCCCCAACCTACCCTCTACTCTACCCTGAATACCCATTGTCGGGCACTTGGGGGTCCTTCTATGCCCGAACCTTACCTATAGTCTCCATTGTAGTTCCTTTTTGGGGTTGCCTTTTAGGATCCCGAATAGAGAATTGGTTAAACCAAAAAAAGGAACTACAATGGAGACTATAGGTAGGCCCTACAAGGCCTACAGCCAAGAGAGTGAGCTGAGACTGCCGCTTCGAAAGAGCCTGCAACGGAGGGCAAGAAAAGGGGGGGAGGGTCTGACGGTTTAAGGGTTCAGGGTTCTTACGGCTTAAGGGTTTTAGGGTTTAGGGTTTAGGGTTTAAGGGTTGTAGGGTCTTACGGTTTAGGGGTTTTAGGGTTTAGGGTCTTGCGGTTTAAGGGTCGTAGGGTCTTACGGTTTAAGGGTTTTTAGGGTTTAAGGGTTCAGGCGTTTAGCGTGCAGGGTTTAGGATAGTTGAATGCTCGTTTCGAGCGATAAACGTATCAAGAACTGTCGTCTGCGTGTAGCCGTAAGGTCTGATGACGACAGCACTGATAGGTTAGAGGGCGTTTAAGGGAAGGCTTTCGCAGTTGGGGCACTCTGAGGATGCCTGTTTGGGTATCTGAGTTGCTGATTTTGGACCATGGTGTTGAGGTAGAGGTCTGCAGCCAGGCCATGAGCCTCTTTGCTCCCTGTTGGGTTCAACGTGTAGGGCGAACCCATAGGCTCCTTAGTAGTTCCTTTTGGGGATTACCTTTTAGGATTCTAAGTATGAACCCCAAAAAGGAACTACTATGGAGCCTCTAGGTAGGATGCAGGGTTTGCTGAGATGCAGATGTGGATCCTGCAGCTCATATCGGCCCCTGACAACACGCACGACGCATGCGCGACCGCAACGGACAATGGACAGCTTGCCGTGCTGCCCGAAAGTTTACCAAAGCTCCTAAAGCCATGAACTCAAACCCCCAAAACCTGAGGCAAAAAGACTGGGGTTTTACCCCAAACTCCCAAACTCAAGCCTAAACCCGAAACAATAAACCCCCAACCCTTAACCCTACGCATCACCCTAAATCCTAAACCCTAAATCCTAAACCCTGAATACCCTAAACCCTGAACCCTAAATCCTAAATCCTAAACCCTGAACCCTAAACCCTGAACCCTAAATCCTAAACCCCGAACCCTGAACCCTAAACCTTAGACGAAACCCTGAACCCTATCACCCGAAAGCCCTTAGGTGGCCTGGTACTGACGGCTTGCTCAGCCAATAGACTCGCTCGGTGGCCTCGGAAAGCTCTGGGTCGGGTTATGTAAGGCTGTGGTGTTTATGATTTAGCTAGGGTTCAAGGAGGGTTTAGGATTTTGAGGGTTTTGAAAGGTTTCTGCAAGAAGGTGCGGCAAGGCCTTGCGCATGCCTTTCGAATTCGACACAGGATCTATAATAAATTGTTCGTATGACTGTGTTTTATGTTGCGCAATAGTCAGATTGCGATGCCGAGGAAATGCTATAGCTAGTTAGTCAGACCTTTAGCGTATCGTAGCCGACAAGCTGTGTATATATAGTGAGAGGCTGCCAATTGAGGGGTTGAACGTTGCGAAAGGGCTTCGCGCCAAAGCCCTGCAACCCTAAACCCTGCCAAGGATATACACACCGGTGGAGGGTTTGAGGACTCAAAACGACGGGTGTCCCCCCAAACCCTAAACCCGAGTCGGATCTTTGGGGGCTTTCGCCCGTGACGGCGTAGGGCACCATGTGTAAAGTTTGCGGTTCTGCCCGAATCTTCGGGTCTAGCTCGGTTTAGGGCCTAGGGGTTTTAGGGTCTAGGGTTTAGTTTAGAAGTTCAACAATGTAAGGGTTCATAGGGGTTTTAGGGTCTAGGGTGAACTGCCCAGAGGTTACAGACACTTTGTTGGGGAACCCTCACCACCGAGACATCAAAAAGCTCTATTGTTTTTTTTTTCATGAAATCCCAGGTCCTCTCAAAAAGAGACCTGGGAAACTCAGGCGGGTGGTTTGCA